GGCACAGTGCCACTGAGTTAAATCCCTGGCCCCTTTCATTTTTGGCTGTCTGTGCATTTAATTTTTTTTTTTCTGATTGTAACAAATGCTTATTGATAAAACTTGAGAAAAAAGTCTGAAGAAGGAGCTAAAATGAATCATAATCTACAACCCAGGGGTAATCAGTAAATAAGTGAGCATATGTTTGCATATTTGTTTTTATCCTACTGGTATGATTCTGTACATACTATTTTGTGTCCTAATTTGTTTTCAAGCAGCATTTCATGAGCCTGCTGTGGTTCTAAATACTTGTTTTAAAAATTTGTTCTAGCAAATAATGTGTCTGCATATTTGAAGGCCCAGATTTATAATGAAAGCCAGTAGTGCCTGGTTTATTTATGAACTCCATGTCCCAGTGGCAATTATTTATCTCTTTTACCTCTTTTAGCTCCTGCTTTTGGAGTTTACCCTCATGTTTCTAAATAATACCAGTTTAGACATTATCCATGATTTCCTATTACAGAAGCTCAGAATTCTATGAGTTCCCACATCCCATTCTTCTAATATTGTTCTGTTACAGTTTTTGTTTTTGTCTTTATTATAAATATTATCTGCAGAACCATATCGTGCTTAGATATTTCCTCTTACACATGTTTTTTAAGGCCATGGGATTAGTAACAGCTTCACTTACTGTTTTTTCTGTTTTATCTGTTCTTCTCAAAGACTCCAGCAGATCTATGAATGCCACTTACAGCTGTTTTTTTTTTTTTTTAACTAAGCCAAATATATATGGCTTTAATGGTTTTTCCCAAGGTGAGTATTTGGCAAAGTAAAAAGCCATGTTATCTAATGAAGTCAAGAAAAGTTAAAATAAGCATTGGACTTGTGATACATTTTCAATTTTGTAAGGATTTAAACTCCTATGGTCCTGCCCTGTAAAGGTCAAAACAGCTTTTTTAACACTTATTGTGACAGTGTCCTCTGGTGATTTGTAGACTGATTTGGACACGGCCCTCGTATTTGTTTCTGTCAAAGTCCTCCTGTGTTTCCGGATGACCATGACCGCGTGATAATGCATCAGCCTGGCTTTCTCCTGTAGTACTTCCTCTGAGATGCTGCCCTTCCTGTTCCTTGTCTCCCTGCTCCTTGCTCCATCCTTAACATGCTTTCTAGGCCAGCTGAATCTCTGTGTTCCTGGGAGGTATCTTCACCATCAACCTGGAAATTTCTTTCACTTCTCTTTAGCTAGGTCTCATTTTCTCTTGCAGTTTATAGAGTATATCTTTCAGTAGCATCTTTTTTTTTTTTTTTTTTAGGTAGGGTCTCCCTTTGTAGTTAGGCTGGCCCTGAACTCACTGTGTAGTCCAGGCTGGCCTCGAACTCAGTGATCCTCCTGTTTCAGCTTCTCGAGTGCTGGGATTACAGGCGTGCACCACCACTCCTGGCTTCAGTAGCATCTTGAGAATAGATATATAGAAGTCAGTTTTTTTGAGACTTCTTGCACTGATTATTTGTTTTATAGTAGGTAAATTACTTCAAAACTAAGTGGCTTAAAAGAAAAAAGCATTTATTATTTTGTAGTTTCAGTGGTCAGGAACGGGGGAGCAGTTCGGCTGTGTAGGTCTAACTTGGGGAATCACATGGAGCTGCGGTGAAGATAATCTGTTGGCCAGGGATGCACTTATCTTAAGGCTTGACTAGGACTGGAGAATCTGTTTCCAAGGAGACTCCCCCAAAAAGGGCACGTTCTTGCTGGTTCTTAGTTGGAAGTCTTAATTCTCCCCATATCAACCTCTCTGTAGCCCCTTTAGTACCTTTATAATCTCTTAGATTGAGGAATCCAAGAGAACAGAACAAATGACAACATTTTTTATGACATATTTATATGTTATGTTCTGCTCATTAAAAGTTAGTCACAGGGCTGGGGATTTGGCTCAGTGGTTCTGTTGCCTGCCTTGCAAATCCGAGGGCCTGAGTTTGATCCTGGTACCAAAGGAAAAAAAAAAAAGATAGTCATAAACTCCTGTCTGTATTCAAGGAGAAAGCAGTTAATCTACCTTTTTTAAGTTAGTGTTCGAGAGTTACTATAAAACCACCACACTCCTGTGTGAACACATCTTGGGTCTGTATGGTGGGGGTTACTGGGGATTGAATCCAAGACTTTCATGTTGAGCTATATGTCCAGCCCTTTTTTTGAGACAGGATCTCACAAAGTCACTAAGTTGGATGGATTGAGCTCAAACTTGTGATCCTCCTGTTTTACTGTCCCAGAGTGCTGAGATTACAGGCATGCGCTACTGTGTCTGACTCTAAACACATCTCTACTCTCAAGAGTACAGAATTTCCAGAATATGTAAAAGAACTCAAATTTAACAATAAAAGGACAAGTACTAAATTAATAGGAAATAATCTGAAGAGGCATTTCCCAAAAGGAGTATAAATGTATGTGAAACTGTTCAACATCTTAAACCATCAAGGAAGTACAAATCAAAATTACATTGATATTAAATCTCACATCAATCACAACAGCTAATGTAGAAAGAGAAAGAAGCAACAAATACTGGCAATGATATGGGGGAAGAAACATGTTGTTGATAAGAATGTAAATTAGTACAACTACTGGGGAACACAGTATGAAAGTCCCTCAAAAAAAAAAAGCTACCAAGTGATTGTGCGGCATTGGTGGTACAGTGGGGAGCAAGCTGCCTTCCAGATGATCCAGCTATACCCCTGGGGGCTAGTCCAAAGGAAACGAATCAGCATATGAAGGGTTACCCGCACACCCTTGTTTATTGTGGTACTGTTCACAGTAGTGAATTATGGAAATAAGCCTAGGTGCGTGTCAACACATAAATGGATAAAAAAGTATAGTATTTTTATATAACAGTATTATTCAGCTATAAAGTAGAATGAGAGCATGTCATTTGCAGGAAAATGGATAGAACTGGAAGTCATCATTCATGTTAAGTGAAATAAGATAGAGAAGTAGTGTGTGTTTCCCCTTAAGCGGAATTTAGGGGAAAAAATGACCTGGAAGTAGAGGGCTATTAGGGAAGGGGAAGAGGGTGAGGGGCAGGGGGTGGGAGGCAGAGGGCAGAGTGAGAGAGGGTGGTAGGAAGGGAATTACAATCCAAACATGGTATGTGCACGTGTGTAAATGTTGTAGTAAAACCCATTTCTTTGTCCAATTAATATGAACTGATAATAATAAAGGTAGGGTATTAGAAGAGAAGAAAAGGGGTATGGAACTCTAGATGGTGATCATGGTTCCTCAGGAGTTTGAAGGCATAGTTCCATTTGGTTCTAACATCTAATGTTGCATTTGAGAAGTCTTTTATTTATATTTTATTTTATTTTTTGCGGTTTCGGGGATTGAACTCAGGACCTTGCACTTGCCAGGCAGGCATGGCACCAGTGAGCTACATCCCCGGCCCAAGAAGTCTTATTTTGATTTTTGATCCTTACCTATTTTATTCCTGAACATCAGGGTCTTGCAGGTTGGAGAAGAGAGAGAATTTCTGCTTAGCCTATTGCAAATTTATCAATAGGAAAAGAAGAGAATACACCAGTTTTTATATTTTTCCAAGCAAATGGCTTATCCCTCCAGCTCTGCATTTAGAGTCATCTTTGGTTGGGGAAATTGCCAATTTATAGTTGCTATAGGGTCTTGACTGTGGAGGAGGCCTGCTCTCCCGTTTTCTCTGTTGAATAGCATATTAAGCCTGGAATAGTTAATAAGAACCAAATACAAGGAACAAGGAAAATAAATGTAAAGGGCAGCATACAATGAGGTTTTTCATACGACATTGAATTTTAGTCTTTTTTTTAACCCATCCTGTACTGGGGATTGAACCCAGGGCCTTCATACTGATTTACACTCCCCAGCCTTTATTTATTTTTTATTTTGAGACAGGGACTTGGTAAGTTGCCCAGATTGGGCTTGTTTTGGTCTCCTTCAGCTTTGCTTTCCCTTTAGCTCTTGGCTTGCCTGAAATTGACAAAAGCGATCTTTTCTCTACCACCCCAGAAAACAGTTAAGCACATAGAGGCTGTTAAATTATTTCAGACCCAAAAGAGAGGACTTTGTGATCAGCTGTGGGCATGTTTCCTACATGGTGTGTCTTATGGCCTCCACAGAATTCCTATCTACCTATGTCACAGTGGCATCTGTGAGACAGTCCTATCTACCGAATTGCAGTAGCCTCACACCTTTCTAGAGATAGCATATGGCAGTTGGTTGGACCTTTGTCATAGCTTTTAATTAATGGATCTGTACATTTATACATATTTTATAGTTTTTATTTAATTAATTAACTAATTAATTAATTTTTTGGTACCGGGGATTGAATGGGCCCTTGTGCCTGCAAGGCAGGTGCCAGAACCACTGAGCTAAATCCCTGGCCCCTTATAGTTTTTATATAAGAAAGACTGCAGTATTAAATCATTTTGTAAAAATGGACTAGACCTAGTAGGCCTGGATTCTAGATTGATCCACCAGCAAACTGTTATCTGTTTTAGCAAGTAAATCTGTCTATAGTTGTATGAAGATTTTTGAATATACTTAGTCTATAATTTTGACTACTGTTGAAGTATTTTAAACAATTATACAATTTAGTATGATACTGAGATAGTGAAGGCCCAATTATCCTTTGAAAAAATATGACCCATTTTGTAATGACGTGCTTTATATGAGGCTCTCCATTATGGTGATAGGTGGGACCTGCTTATATTTAAAGTAGGGCCTGAGTGTTTGCTATGAGTAAATATTTCTTTATTTACCTAAAAACTTATATATTCTTAAGCAGAATGTAATTTCATGTATTTAAATCTACATTTAGATTCTGTACTTTATAGTTCTGTTTCATTCATATATTTGACATTTACTTCTTTAAAATTTTAAGTTGAACTAAAAAAGTAATGAAAAGTACCATATATTGAAGTATTTTATGAGTAAAATTCTTTGGTGCTCTTAGACCTGCGTTTTCTTTCTACTTAAGTATAATTTTTTAAAAATTTCCCAGAGTGAAAAGCTTTTGTTATATGATACAGTCCAGAGCGAGCTAGAGGAGAAGATCAGAAGACTCGAGGAGGATAGACACAGTATAGACATTACCTCAGGTACGGGGTGGAGTGCAGCAGTGGTGGTGTTTGTGACTTCTGGCCCTTTGTTTACCTCAGTGTTCCATACTGTCTCATCTCCTGAAATTATTGTGTAAATAAGCGAACTGTTCTCCTAGACAGAGGGAAGATTCCAAAGAATTATGAATGTGATGGTTACTTTGATTTGAACTTAACGCTTTAGAAAGAGGTAGAAATAGAACACATGAAAAGAAGTGCTGACAAGTACCCGACGGGAAACAGAAACGCAGAGGGTAACTACTTTAAGAATAGTTCTGGAAGACAGTAGCAGTGGATATTCCCTCTAAATTTTAAGAGACTGTCATGTGGGGAAAGGATTGCAAACCTCTCTGACAGAGTCAAACCACAATAAGTAGAAAAATGTGTAGTTTTTTTTTTGTGTGTGTGTCAGAAAAAGGAAACACGTAAGTAATAGATTAGTCCTGTGTGAAATGGGCTATTTCAGAGGTATTGATAGAACGGTTTTCTACATTGAATGGAAAGTTACTAGGTTATCTTAAAGTTCTTGAACATGTATTATTTTATCTGTTGCAAATTATTACACTGGAATAGAGCAGGCACAGTGCAGTCAGATATCCTGAGGTCTAATGCCAGTGCTTCCTCACCAAGTATCTGAGCAACTTGGGACAATTACTTACATTGTCTAAATCAGTGTTCTTGTCTGTAAAAGGGAAGCAGTAAGAATATCTACTTCAGAGATAGCTTGGGAATTAGGTGAGACAGTGCTTGTGATACATACTTTGTAAAGCGCCTGACAGATACTGATCATTTGTAACTATCAGTGCCAAATTAATTTTTGCTTTAATAAAGGTGGAGGAAAATTCATACATATATAGCTGCTCATGAAATGGTGTATATGTACATATCTCCCTACCAAAGTATTATATAGTTTTATAAGTAAATAAATACCAACTATAAAATTATGTCACACTTTTTCCTTCTGTGGTTACAAGAAATCAACTAATATTTAATTTTTATTTGCTTGCTAGAGCTGTGGAATGATGAACTTCAGTCAAGAAAAAAGAGGAAGGATCCTTTCAGTCCTGACAAAAAAAAGCCAGTTGTTGTTTCAGATATCCTTTTCCAAATTCTCTGGATTTTTTCCCTTGATGTACATTCCTGTAATGTGCATACCTTTGTAACTTTTACTACTACACTTTGACATTACTTAAATTGTCTTGTAATAAGCAAAAAATGCTTAATAAAACTGGTTGAAGGCAGGAGATATAATTTAGATTAAGAAGGGTGGGGGAAGGGGAAACATTTAGCCACGGTCATGACTGAAAATTCATGCAGTTTTATAGTTCACAAGGGCATTCATATGAAACAGGTGCTCAGTATACATCCTGATTACTTTTTGTGTGCACTTTTTAAAGAATATTTTTCATGTGTCTGAAATTGGAATATCCTTGAATAATAACTGATGTGTACATTCAGTCTTATGCATTCCTGTGGAAACTTACCCCTGCCCTGGCTGTTTCCTCTTCCACCTTAAAAACAGTAATTAGGCTGGTGGTGTATTTTAGAGTCAGTGTTATCATAGGATTAAGGGAATATGCTTTATGGAATTAGAAGTATGAAAATATATCAGAAATCAATATATTTATCCTGGTACTAAGTTTTTAAAAGAATAATTAGAAGTCAGAATTTAGAATGCCAAAGAATTATGTCCATATGTCATCGTTCCATTTTCTGAAAAATAGAACTTTTGAAATAGAACTCAAAGTGTGATACTCTTTTTTTTTTTTTTCCTGTCCCTTTGCCTTTTTCCTGTCCTCCCCCACCTTCTCCCTCCTTTCTTCTGGGGCTATAATCTGCAGCCTCACTCATGCTGGGCAGGGGGGCTCTACCCCTAAGCTACATTCTTGGCCCTATTGTAATTTGTTTTTGGATGGCTATTATTATTTTTTTTTGGGGGGAAGGGGTTTTGAGACTGGGTCTCACTATGTAGTACTGGCTGGCCTTGATTCCTGTCCTCCCCCACCTTCTCCCTCCTTTCTTCTGGGGCTATAATCTGCAGCCTCACTCATGCTGGGCAGGGGGGCTCTACCCCTAAGCTACATTCTTGGCCCTATTGTAATTTGTTTTTGGATGGCTATTATTATTTTTTTTTGGGGGGAAGGGGTTTTGAGACTGGGTCTCACTATGTAGTACTGGCTGGCCTTGAACTCACTACAATCCTCCTTTGCCAGCCTCCTTAGTGCTAGGATTATAGGCATGCCACCATGCCCAGCTTTTGAATCTGATACTCTTACAGCTAAATTAACCTTGACTTTTCAACGTCCATATATTGTTTATATGCTGCAAGATCTTGATATTCTTGAAGACTGGACAACAATTAGGAAGGTATGATTAAAGATTGGTGAAACAAAGTATATTTTTATAGTCTTTTAAGATTTTAGATTTTTCACTAATAATATCAAAATACTATAAATAATTTTGCTTTGAAGCATTTTCTCTAAAGCGGTTAATACTATTATCAATAATAGTGGCTTGCAAGAGTATCTTAGAGACATGTCAGCAGTGTGTATTTTTCTTTTGGTAATATAATTAATAATTTATATGAGAGTACAGAAAAGCATTTATTTAGTTTACCCAAAAATAATGATATCACTGTTCTGTGCCTGGGACTCAGCCTGGTCCTGGATTGTGGGAGGCACTCATTAAGTATTTGTTGAATGAATAAAAGTGAATATTTAAACCCTTACTATGTGTCCTGTATTCTACCATCGAACAATCAAGAATTACAGCTTTTCAATGTTTGCTTAGAAGTGGAGCCTTATTTTCTTTATTTTTTCATTTTTGTAAACTTCTTGAGAGAAATTATTTGAGATACTGATTACACTTCTTGGAGAAATTAAATTTGTTTTATATATAAGTTATTGAGCCAGTTATTATTGTATATATAAGAAATAGATAGCAAAATATTTTTTCAGTCTGAGCTCAGACAACTTCTTTCTTCTTTTTTGTTTTTGTCAAGGCAATGGCTACACTGGGTCCTCACAGAGTAAAAACAGAACGTAAGTGGGGAATTGAGAAATACTTGTGGAGATTTGTTGAATCAGGATTGTTAAATCATGTCCATACTAAAGAACTTCCTCATCAGTAGTTTCATTTCATCAATGAACACTGTGCCTAAAATGATGACGAATTCTTCTGGAGTTTATTAGGTCACATAAAAGTTTCGGGATTTCTGGATACACTGTATTTCTTCTTCAGTGCTCAGCTATATCACCTTAGCTAATGGATCCGTAATTCAAAAGATATTCAGTGTTTTTTCTTGGGCCAGTAATTTTTTAGAGTAGATATTTAGAGTTTGTTGATTGGGTTCAGGAAGTCTGGATCCTCTAAAGTTGTTTAGAAAATTTCTTATATGTCTTCATTTTCGTAAGAGAGAGAGAGAGAACAGAATGCTGACAGCAGAGTCTAGCCAGGAAATTCGGGCCCTTGTGCTTGCGAGGGACATGACAGAACCACTGAACTAAATCCCCAGCCCTGGCCAGGAAATTTTTCTACCACAAAGATTGACACATTTTAATTTGCCTTAGTAAAATTCACATTAAATTATAGTTCGTTGTGTGTGTGTGTGTGTGTGTGTGTGTTCTAAAAGCACTGCCAAAGTCATAATGAGTATTAGCTTTGTTTATGCCTTTTTTCACTAGAGGTCAGTTTTCCTAATCCTTTTAAGGACCATGAAGCTAGAGTTTTGTTTTAAAAGCATATTTTCAATACTAAGATCTTTGCAAGAGATAATCTGTAAGAAATCGATTTCTATTTTATCTTTAAGGATTTCTTTAAAATTTATATCATGTCAAGAAGTCACAGCAGTATTGTACTAAAATACCACCCTTGGGGATTAACTGGAAGGGCAATTTCCTAAATCTCTATAGCAGTGGTTCTTAACATTTTTTGGGATCATGAATTCCTTTGAGTTCCCTGCTCACCCTCCAGGCCAATCTCTTATCTTTAGCATTGTATCTTGTTAGTTTTTGTTTTAGCATTTGCCTCAATTTATACTTCTTAATTATTTGCTTGTATCCTGACTGGATTGTAAGCTCCAGGAAGGCTAATACTGTATCTCTGTTAATTGTATTTTTCCCTCAGAACCTAACACAATTCCTTGATACAAGAAGTGCTCTTAATGAATGAATGAACAAATGAATACAAACTTACTGAACATGTTCTCCACACAGGGCACTGAGAATCTGAGATACGACAGGGAGAGACTTCCTGGAGCCTTCTTGGGGGTGGTGAAATAATATATATGTAAATAAATAATTAAGATAGCTCCAGATGGTAAAAATTATTATGAAGGAAATAGGAAGTTATTATGACAACTAACTGAGAAGTGGGTAGAGTGGCTTGGAAGACCTGTGTGTGTGGGGGTAACGTGAAGACAAAGAGGTACTTAATTCATGGTATGCTATTGATGGTGTGTGAAGAATGCTTATTCACTGTGTGAGTTTATCTGACTAATGCCAAATCATTTCTGGGATTTAAAAATGGAAGTTTTATTTATTATATTTCCTTTTTAGAATGAAAGGCCTAGGGAACTTGTGGAATAGATATTAAACTCAGCTTTTTACGAGGCTGGGGTGTAGCTCAGTGTTAGAATGCTTAGTATGTGCAAGGCCCTAAGTTTCATCTCCAGAACTGAACCCCCGCCACCAAAAATAACAAACCACAAAACAAAACAAAAGAACTTCTGCTGCTTTGGAAACTATCAGATTCCTTGCAAGGGAAAAAATATGGAAAGTGTATTTTCCAGTGGAAATACAGCAATTGATATTTTCAGTGCTACTTAAACTGGCATTAGTAATTAATAATGTATCTGCCCCCCTTTCTGGTATTTATCAATGACTTATTTTTCATTATTTGGCTTTATTTATATTAAAACTTGTTGGATTATATGTAAGAATATAAGAAATCCATTTTTTATTAGATTTTAGATTTGTTATCTAAGAAATACTTTTTTTGTCACTGATATGCATGGGTTGGATTAACACTTAACGTCCTGACCTTTTTGTTTTGACAATGTCTTATAACAGTTTTTGAACTGATCCCTTTAGCACCTGTGAAACTGGAAAAACATCTGCACAGTGCTAGATCTGAAGAGGGAAGACTGTATTATGATGGTGAATGGTATATACGTGGACAGACAATATGTATTGATAAAAAAGATGAATGTCCTACAAGGTAAGGAGCTGTTACCATTTCAGTGTTACGACTCAATATTGATTTTTACATTGTCATAGTCAGTAAATATTTGCAGCTTCCATGGCGTATTCACAGTGCATCATTAGTTGCCTGTGGGTATTTTTTCCACATTTGATTACGTGTGTATATACGTGTGTCAATATCTGTACACCAGACTTCCTATTTAGCTCATGAATCCCAGTGCTAGCACAAATAGAGCTGATGGAATTGTTTTTTAATTCTTAGAGTAGATGAACCGTTATGATTTAGATATAATGACCTATATAAATCAGACTGGTAGGAGCTTTTGGAGGATCTATTAATCCCTAACTTTTTGGGGTCTGTTAGAAGAATTTATATCTATTAAAAGAAGAAAGAAATGAAAAATTAGTAAAAAGCTAGAGTAACAGTAATTAAAAGTATAACTTGAAACCTGGAAATTGCCTTTTAAAAGTTTTAATCTCTCTAGGCACAAATAAAGTTTGATTACATATAACTTCTAAGTTTTATCTGGGTATGGCCTTTGGAAAATATTAATGTGAACCATTGCTTTCATTCCTTCAATAGTTCGGGACTTTAATTCTACAGAACAAAAATGTCTTTTCCGGGGCCAGGGATTTAACTCAGTGGTGCTGCTGCCTGCCTCGCAAGCACGAGGACCCAAGTTTAATCCCTGGTACCAAAAAAAAAAAACCAAACCATTTTCCTAGATAACAGTAGTAAATAAAATATTTGAATTAGTTTAGAATACTAATTTTTCAAGTACAGTAGTTTTAATTGGATTACAGTTTCATTTTAAAATTTTTAAGAATTCCAGGAAGATCATGTAGAGTAACTTTTTCATAGAAGTTCATTGAACTGATTACTAAATTACGTATCATACTCAAGGATACTTCTCTTTACTTTATTGGTTTTGTAACCTTTAACTACTAGTTAGCATTAAATTAGTTAAAAAAGAGATGACAGTATAAAAGAGGGTAAATCACATCTGTTTTATAAAAACTATGTAAAGACTAGTAGTGTCAGAAAAGTCCATTTAAGTGCTGCATGAAAGATTTCTTATAGTCAAGGCTGGTGTGAGTTGGGCGTATAATACCATATCAGTTAATGGTTTTAGTTCCACTCTTATCTTCTTAGGGGTGGAATGGGAAACAAGTAGGAATAATGTGCATTTAGCACAGCCATGTGTCACCGAGTAAGTCTGAGAAATGCACCATTAGGCATTTTGCAGATGTATAAGCGCCATGCACAAACCTAGAGAGAATATAGGTCATTCCATGACCTGCCTGCTTGATATACTTAAGGCATGAGGTTGCTGCCATGTTCCATGGCATGCTGTTTTACTGTAAACCTTTTTTTTTCCCTTTTAAGTAGGAGTACACCTCAAAATTGTGGCCAAAAGTGTAACACAGTAAATATATAAACTGGTAACTAAGTCATTTATTACCATTATCAAGCCTCATGTACTGTCCCTATTATGAGCTATACTTTCATTCCACTGGCAGTGCAACAGGTTTTTGTGCACCAGCATCACCACGAACATGGAAGTGATGCCCTGTGCTACATTCTAATGGCTACAACCATTGGGGGGTGGGAACTTTTCAGCTCCATTGTAATCTGATGGAACTCCTGTTGAATATGAGATGTGATAAAAAAAACATGGTAGATCGAACTCAAGACTTTGTACTTGCGAGGCAGGCACGGTGCCACTAAGCTAAATCCCTGGCCCTGGTGAAGTCTTAATTCAAATAAAAAAAACTTCCGTAAAAGACACATTGCCTTTAATCCTCTCAGAATGCTCCCCCTCACTAGATGACACATACTTAGCATTCTTGCCACTTTCTGAAGCAGTTCTGGAAGTCCTTTTTTGTGTGTTTTTAGTTGGGCTGTCATGGCTGCCTGGATGTCCTGAATTGATTCAAAACGTTTACCTTTCATGGTTTTGACTTTTGGGAAGAGGCAGAAGTCAGTCACACAGTGCCAGATCCAGTGAATACGGTGCATGAGGGTACACTGTCACGTGTTTACGAGTCTGCTTTTCCTTTGGATGATAGTTGGCAGCTCGTTTCACCATACTTTTAATCATCTCTCATAAAGACATGAAAGAGAACTTCAGAACTGCATCGGAAAGTGGCAAGAAGGATGAGATGAGTGTGTTGGAAGTGAAGGGGAATATTTTCAGGGAGGTTGATTGCAATGTGTCTTTTACTGTAATAATTCTTTTTTAAATTTCAACCTTAACCATGTATTTTGATCGCTCTTACTATGTGGCCTCTTATTCACTGAATGTCTTTTTGAGCATATGACTGTAGATCTAATAGAAAGTCAATTTTGCTAACTGTTGAAGAAGGGATATTATTATTAAGAGTTGCTGAATGTGATATTCTTGACCTGCTTATTGTGTAGCCATCTGGTAAATAACACTTGTATACTTGAATCTTTTGTCGGTGGTTTTGGTTTTATAGCTAATATAAAATGAAGAGACATATTGTAACTCATTCATTCTTCCTCTTCTCCCCCCTTTTAGTGCCGTAATTACAACAATTAACCATGATGAAGTTTGGTTTAAGAGGCCTGATGGAAGCAAATCTAAGCTTTACATTTCACAGCTACAGAAAGGAAAATATTCAATTAAACATTCATAATCATGATTTAAGTGTTATCTAAATCTACCTTGTTAGTGTTACCAATTTCAATGTGCCATGGGAGTGAAAAAAAATGTATTCAGTAACTTAATATTCTCATTGAATCATGAGAGACTGTATTTGTAGGCAGTAGACCTCATATTGATATGTTACTAAAAGAAACAGTGATAAAAAAGTTTAATCATAATCATTACATTTATTTGCCTCTTAGGTCCAATTACCAATAGCTATATATGGTAGGAATTTCTTTCTAAAAGTTTTCCTTGTTTTTAAAAATAATTATGCAAATCTGTCTTTAGTGAACTATGGCTGTTTATCTGCAGTTTTTTATTTTTCATATCTTTGTCATTCATCATGTTTGTAAATAAGACTGATAAAATAATTTCCTATAAATGGTTTGTATTAGTATATTAGTGTTAAATCACAGTTGAAATTTAAACCTATATATGTGAGTATGTATATATGACATCATCAGCTTATTTAGAACTGATGGTCTTACCTTACAATCTAGTTTTACCCAAAATTAAAATACTGGGTTTGAAAGCTAAAAGGAGCACTTTTGTAGAATAGCTTTCCTTCTCTTCATGGTATGGTGGTGACCTATTTTTGCAAATTATACTTAATTAGTAAAATTAGTGTCAAGTGATAACATGTTTCTACCTGTATTTTTTGTGACCCTTTAAAGGGCAAGTGTTCATCCCTGATATTTATGACCCAGTATGTAAGTGGTGAACAGTAACTGACAGTATTGTGGTGCTTGCTGTACATGTCTGATCTTTCCAAACAGATTTTTAGTAAGCATTTTCCAGAGGTAAAACTAGAGATCCTTACTCTAATTTTATTCCTAGGGCAAAATGGACAAGGATAATTTCCTTGAATTTATTCCCAAATTAATTAATTTATTCCCAAATTTATCTTGGGTGTTTTTACACTTTAAGGCCATTTGGTGCAATTTAGGAAGCATTGGCCTCCCTTCCCTTAACCACATTCAAAATGAACTTCCAAAGCCTCAGGAACAGTACAAAGCATTGAAACCCTCAATACGGCAGCACAGTTGGCTGTAGTACACATTTAGGGTACAACCAAACCAAGTATTCCTGGTGGTCTTGTGCACTTTAATTTCTGTTACAGTGAGACTTAAGAGGTTAAGGAAGAAATCTACTTATTAACAGTACAGGTATATCAGCATGATTCCGTTTGTTTTCTTACTATTTTACCTCTGCAAACATCATCCTATGCAGATCACTACATCATAGTTGCCAAATTTTAAAACATTTGACTTCTGAAATTCAATATTAGCAGTTATGCTACTTTGTTTCTAATTAACTTTAGTAAGTGTACATAATGTCATAATCCAGTAGTATTTGACAGTACTTATGTATACAATGTTTGATAAGCATTTTTAATAAGATTTGTATTTTTTAATTTAGATAATAAAATGTGTTTGAGTGTCATTTGTCATGTCTTGAATTATTTATGCATATTTAGTTCTTAAATTATTATGAACTGTCCATTTCTAAGAAGAATTTGAACCGATTTACATTGATAGATAACGGAGTGCTAGATGCTTGCACAAATGTTTTTGCTTTCCTAAGCCACAGCTCAACTTCTCTTGGGTTATATTTAGATGTTCAAGACAGCTAAGTTAGTTATACTTAACTAAAGATATATGTTATGCTTTAATAAAAATGTAGTGGGTAAGTTCTGAAGTTCTAAATAGAAAATTTTTATTTTAAAAATATGATTTTATATTTACTTTTCAAAATATTTATATAATATATATGATTCTACCATAATATTAAGATCCAGGTAATCACATGCTTGTCTGTGGTTAAGGTGCTATAAAAGTGACAGTTTGCAGGTGGTGTTCTGATGTAAGATGTAACTTAGAAGAATTGTTAGAAATTCTGAAATATCTGGCAGCAGCTCCATATGTTTATGATTAGCTTCTCTCTTAGTATCAGTTGCTGTCTTTCCTGTCACACCTACTAGTTTTTCATGTTCAACCCAACTGTTCTTGCCCTTTGCCACTTTAAAAAGGAAAGGTACCCCAGTCATCACTAATCCAATTTATCAAGTAGTAATTCTCACCAAACATTAGTGGCGTTCTCCTCACCCATCTCTTTTCTCATTGTTCCTATTGAGGCACTGATCTTTCCATTCTAGTCTTCATGTAAAAGTTGAAATGATGTGATATTGTTACTTAGGACTTCTCTTAGAGAACCATGCACTCCTCACTGGTAACTGTTTAGAAAGAATGCAGAAGTTGACTATTTCAATATTTTGCTTTTGGGCCCACTAAATCCAGTATAATAAGACAGAATAACAATGAACTCTTTATAAGGAAAATGGATGTAGGAGAAATGAATATTGGGGTTTATGTAGCCTCTAGCCAGTTTGGAACACAAGCTATTTTATTTTTTAAAAGATGAAATCTAGAAAGAATCTAAAAGCTCAGAATGGGACTAGAGAACATGCATATCCCTTCCGTTGTGTTTTGGTGAGATTTGCTGTGCAGTTCTCTCATTACTCATTGAGGGCCACAACCTCCCTCTGAATTCTTTCTCGAGCATGTACCTTGCTGCTCTGGTCAGTTTTTGGACCACTGTGGCCCCTGACTTTATGGGCAGCCTGTGATAATAACACTTGAAATATGAATGTTTGCCATGTCCCAGGAGATATCTTTAATGAAAAACTGAAAGTCATTATTTAACATTTTTTAATGTTCAAAACAAAATGAACATAAATGCCATTTTCTTTCTTTCTTTTTGGTACCGAGCAAACTCAGGACCTTGCACTTGCTAGGCAGGCGTGGTGCCACTGAGCTACATCCCCAGCCCTTAAATGTCATTTTCACGTTCAAAACAAAATGAACACAAATTTTACTCTTTATAGATTTGCCTTATTTTGGTAATTTCTGGCCATGGTACTTTTCTCAAGGTATAAGAGGAAAAATATCGCGGTGGAATTTATATTTTTCAATGTTCTGAAACAGTCAATTATCTCAAGTTGCTAATCTTTATGGAAAATGTACATGTGTTTAGCTATGGAAAGTTAAAAGTTATCAGTCTAGAATTGTTCCTAAAGTTGAAGCTAGTATGTTCTCTTTTGAGATACATTTTGTTGAAGGAAGGTTAAGAGTAGAAGTCATATAGTAACAGTCTTTAGAGTCATTTTCTCTTTCCTTTCTATTTTCCTGTATCTAATACAGGTTTGAGGTGGGCGACCTTGCCAGATTGCTACATTCTCTGAAGAGAGAAGTACCATCATTCTAGTCCAGAAGCAGGCCACATGGTACCATTTCATCTCTTCTAGTGAAGATTACAAATTATGTTAAACTGCACAAAAAAACCAGACCTTTAAGCAGAGGCTAAGCAATCTTCTTTATAGGGATATTGAAAGAAATATATTTCATTTGTTATTGAACAATTTTGAAAATGGCATTGTTAATGGAGGAGATAGTAAAGTGCTTGCACTTGTTTGAAGATAAATTTATGATTTTAGACATTATGCTTAAGTATATCTATGGTAATTGTACTTACAGACTTCAGGCACTGTTTATCCATCGACTCTAGCAGGTTTTGATTTGAACCTTATATTCTATGGTGTTAAATTATATTTTAAAAATACATTTATGTACTGTATGTGCATAAGTACCACATTATCCATTACACAAGAGCCAACTTGGGTCTTTCTTGCAATACTACATCAGGGGTGGTGAACCTGTGGCATGTGTATTACTATGCTTACCTTTTGGATGACTTCATTCATTTCACTGGCTTCAGATATTACCAGTTTTTCAATTCCAAATCTATTTTTTTTTTGTACCAGGGATCGAACTCGGGACCTTGTGCTTGCAAGGCAGGTGCTGGGACCATTGAGCTAAATCTCCAGCCCCTTAGATTCCAAATCTAAATCTCTCCCTAGTTACATATTTCAATTTGGCAAGTTCCATTTATTAGGCTCTTCATATTTTTTAAACCTTATGCCTATAAAACCAAACATATCCTCCGCCGACCTTCATCGTACTCCATTTTTGCTTCCACCTTTGGTGTGCGCTACCATCCATGTTCTTCAGACCTTGGCAGGTGGGTAAACTCACGGACTTCAGGGTTGAGTAACTGGAGGTGAGTTCTGCCACTTAGCAGCTACGTGGCCTTGAGCAGCACTTTTACCTGGGTTGCCTCAATTTCCCTATCTAAAAAAGGGAAAAACTAATACCTAAAATTGACAGGGTTGTGGTGAGGATTAATGAATTAATATATGTCCAGAGCTTAAGAGTAGTACTTGTTAATGATAACCAGATGCAAGTGGTATCTACGTATTTTGACTCCTCACTTCTCATATCTTTGTGATTTTTCTAGTCATAGTTTCTAACTCAAAAAATTTCCTGAAATCATCTTTTACTCCCACCAATCTGCCCTAGTTCCAGCCACTGATATATTTTACTGGAATGATCATGGTGGCCTAACTGCTCATGTTTCTTGCTTTTTTCTGTCTATAGCAAACATTACAGTATTTCTAAAACCCAGAACTGAGTCTTTGAAATTTTCCATCAGGATTTCCAATTCTTTTATAGTTCTGGACAACTAGGAACTGCCTGGCACTCAGAGCTAAGTCTTGATGTTCTCCTGTGAACATTAACAATTTCATGTAGTATCCACATCAAACAAGACCAGTCTGACTATGACGAGCTGAGAACAAAAACCAAGATTCCCTCCATGTACCTGATGATCTTGTTTAACTACAGACTTAAACAAGGTCAGTCTGTGAACAACAAAGGGCTAAGGATTTCCCTGTCCTGGCTAACAATGAGTGACTGCCGCTGCTTTACTAACTGTATTAGTTGTGTTCCTGTTGCTGGAATATGCGGGACCTGTAAACTTAGAGGGGGAGAGATTTATTTTGGTTCATGGTTTTGGAGAGTTCAGTCTGCATGTTTGTCCATCTCCACGCCAGAAATGGCATGGCAGAGGAGAGCTGGTCACCGCATGGCAGCCAGGAAGCAGAGTTAGAGAAGGGAGGAGTTGGGGATAAGAACACACTCTTCCAGGTCGCCCCCCATGATGCTCCTCTTCTAACCAGGCCTCATTTCCTAACAGCACAGCACAGCACACTCAGCTGAATCCGTGCATGATGAACCCTCATGTCCAATCGCTTTCCAAAGGCCCTGGCTCTGAACACAAGACTTTGGGGGGTTGTTTCAGATCTAAATCATAATACCTACTCACTCCATTACTTCTGCTTTACAAATAAGATTTATTAAATACTGGGTGTGGTAGTCCATGCTGTAATCTCAGCCC